TACACATCCACTTAAGAGGAATTAGAAATATCATTTAGCCCAGGAAGATGAATTAAAATACAAAACTGAAACAGGATGGGTAGCAGTGTATAACAAGAAAATAAAAAGAAACATCTGCTAAAAAAACATGAATTTTAAATGCAGAAATATGTGCAATAGACCTAGCACTGAACTTCATCTCTAGAAACAAAAGTAAAACTTATTTAATATTTTTAACCCCTATCAGTTATAACAGCAATAAAAAATAAAACTTATCAGACCACTGATGGTGAAATTGCTATACAGGCTGCATTCACTATTCAATTGTAAATAAATAGTCCTATACTGAATCTCAAGCCACATAGGAATTAAAAGGAACGACCAGGCAAATTCGGTCGCAATGTCTGCCCAAAATGAAACCTTTGATAATTGTTTTAGGATCCCTTTTGCGAACATGAAAAATGATATAAACAGTTTCATTAAACATAAGTAGCAGTAGTTCTGAACCGACAACGTAAATAACAAGCTTCGTACAATTCGAGCCGCCCTGATGAATGGAGGCAGTTGTCTAGAAATGGAAGAGAGGCTGAAATAATGTTGGCTTAGTTGTAATTAGGTCACACATACCTGATCCATTCATACTTGCTGAAGAATTAAGATCCACCAATATGTACACCACGCCAAGTTGTGCTCATATTGAAATACATTTTAACTGAATCTACTTACTTAGCACCTGTAAGACATAAATACTACAAGGAAACCAACATGAGAAAACTATTTGAAAATACTGAAACTGTCAATATGTTTTACTTTAAAAAAAATAGGTCTATACCAACACATATAACACATACAACAGATTATACTGAAACTATATATTTATAAAACATACTTTTATCCTGACAGTATAAAATTCTGTTCAAATATCTGTAATTGAAGACATACAATTACGTTCAAAATATATTTACTTGAAGTCGTAAAATTTAGATTTCGACATTAAATAATCTATTTGGTATGCCGTTAAGCAAATTCAACCAAACCAAAGTGTAATGGTTGAATAATTCTGTTGAGAAGACACACCCTTCCTTACCCTATCTAATAGTTCTTGTGTCTTTTTTTCTGAGTCTCCCATTCACAAAGTGTTCTGCGCGTAGCGTATTTTAAATTAATCTCCGCCGATAATAAATCCTGCTCGGTCTTCTCCTCATCTCGTTGTACTTATCTTTCTATTTTTCTGCATATCACGTTCTCTATCTGCAGGTAAGTTGTTTGTTCCCAGTACACAACAGGTTACCGATTATTCATATCTTTTTTTCCGTATAGGTCAAACTTTCCGGTACTTTATTAAATGCCTTTGCTTAATCGATGTAACGTAAGTATAGTTCTTTCTGCACTTGCGTTGTCTTCTCTAATAGCATTTTGATAGTGAAAATTGCATTTCATGCCCAATTGTCTTTCACAAATACACGCTGTACCCATTCTCTATTTTAGTCTAACAATATCAAGAAATAACAATAATATAAACTATTTTTCGACATTCAAAATACTTTTCCTTGTTAAGTAATTGATGCGTTTGTTTTATTTTTTTAATGTTTTTTCTTTAATCGCTTAGGTTCATAGTATTCTTTGAAATAAAGATTACGTCATGTTTTAAACCAACAACAGGAAAATCTTTTTGTCTGAAAGATAAAACGAAGCAGGAACCCCACGACTATCTATTTTTAGTGATCTTCGGTAAGGGAAAGAATTTACGAGAAAAATCGTTATATATTATTCGGAAATATAACGTTGTCTTTAAGAAGAACATTTCTTAATGACAATAAAACAATAATTTGTTTTTTTTTTATTGGTTTCTTTTTTACGGCTTATCAATCTTTTGCAAGTTATTTAAAGCCAAAAAACATATTTTTTCGATTGTAAGAATTTTCTTTTTAGAAAACTCTTTACTGATACAAGTCCTACTAATTAAACACTAGGAAGAAGAGGTTGATGTATACATTTCCCAAGAGTATTTACGCCTGAAGTGAGTGTAACGAACCCGACTGGAAGTGGAACTCGAACCTCCATCTTCCGTTTTCCATTACACCATCTGCACACCCATTTGTTCTATTTTAAGAGTAATGGATTTTTTTTATGTTCACATATATAGATTATGAGTATTTCATCCACCATTTTGGAATTATCGAATTTAAACGTAGATAAGACTAACGCTTATATAAAACACAATATCATTTCAGTAAGGGAATGTTAAGAAAAATGTTGGATGATGTTGATGAATGTTACTCGATTTTTTATGTGCATTTCTTAGTTGAAATAGTTTAAAACAAATATCTTTTTGTGTTTTTATTGCAAATAATCCGAAGATGAATTGGAATAGCGAAAGGTGCCTTCCAAAAGCTAAGCAAAGTATTTAGAAACAGGAAAAATTCGCTAGTAACAAAGAAAAGAGTGCTTAACTGTTATATAATATAAATCCTCCTATATAGCAGGGAATCCTATAAAATTTCATCACAGATGTACAGAATCTTGAGGCAACAGTGATGTAGTTCTATCTAAAGGGGTCGTTCCACGCCCCTCAAAACCGCCAATCAGGAGCCTTGCTGCCGGATGTAGTTCATCATCATTAGGACTTCCTTTTTTGTGAGTCTTAATAAGAAACTAAATGCAAATTTTATGGACAAAAAAAAAAAAGAAAAGATGAACACTTTCTGCTAATCTGAATTATTTCATATTCGGACGCGAATGTAACTCGTTGTAATGTAAGTTGCTTTGAGGTTCGACAGCAAAACTATCATTATAAAATTAATCAAGCGATCACAGAATGATTTGCATTTATCTTCTGAAGCAGAGATGAGCTGACAAGACAAAGGCAGACTTGTAAAAAGTTTTATTTCTTATATCAGGCAATTTCGCCGTCTGTTTGGACTCTGCGCTTCCTAAAATTCTGTAAGACACAAGAACGTAATGGCACGTATCCAGTTTGTCCTTCTGCTAGCAAGGGGTTTTCAGTCATGTTGGTCCGTCTCCTAGACTGGTGACCAAAGCTATGCTATAGAGCCGATCCTAATCTACTATTTACCTATAGTTGACGGAAGATGGACTCATTATTTACAATGATATTATGGAAAACTGACTCAAAATTAAAAAGTCTAACGTTCATTACATGGTGTTCTTTATTAAAGGCCAACACTTAATTCAACTCACGCCAAAACTGGAGGCCTACTATCTCAAATCTCTTTGTTCCTCTGGAAGCGGACATTTTTAGTCTTGGTTTGATTTTCTGTAGTTTGTTGCTGTTGAATAAATACAATGTAAAAAAAGTATAAATTAAAAGCATAGTTAATTTGTAGCAAAAAGTTAATCCTCTTTATCTTAGTATATATTTTCTATACTATGATCTTATTGCAATTAATATATAATTTGGCAGTTCTTCGGATTCGGCCGAGAATACCATGGATGAAGCAAGTGATCAACGAGGAAGTTTTAAGATAAAATAGAACGAAAAACCAATTTTAGAAACAGTGGACACATGAGGAAAGAGAACTTGGAAAATTTGTCACTCACAAGGACATATCGTGGGCGAGCGAAGGAATGTGTAGCCTACCTGAGAAGCTTAAGTAAATGAACGCTAGAAAGACTGGGGAGGATAGTAAGGATGAAAAATATTGCTAAAATGTACAAAGGAGAGGAAGTTGTGAAGAGACATGATTGCCCACGTCCTAAATGAATACGGCACATAAAAGGAAGAAGTTTGGGAGCAAACAGTTCATCTTATGTTACATCAAATACGGTTTCGTCCACTCATACAGTAGTATACTGATCTTGTATTCTATCAATACGATGACCATTTTTCATTGAATTTGGAAAATTTGTATGTCTCAAGAAAATTGTTAATAATTTCCGCCTAAGATTTTTTTCCTGCGTTCAGCAAATTCAAAAAATTAATTTTCAGAACTTGATCAGGGAATGGTTTGAAAATTTTAACACCGAATAAACGAAACTTCATTTTTAATCATCTGAGAGATCGCTTTCTCCCATCTGCATGGCTGATGCTAACCTCCAGGAGAGTGACGCGTTGCCCTTTCTTGGGATAACGTTTTCCGCTGACATGAAATGGAAATATTATATTGAATCCATTCCTAGATCCATTCCATGAAATGAATCCATTCCAGAAATCCATTCCATTCCATGAAATGAATCCATTCCATGAAATGGAAATATTATATTGAATCCATTCCTAGATCCATTCCATGAAATGAATCCATCCCATGAAATGGAAATATTATATTGAATCCATTCCATGAAATGAATCCATTCCATGAAATGGAAGTATTATATTGAATCCATTCCTAGATCTGCTGCTAGAAAGTTGGTTCACAGTTGTATCTTAAATATTTATAAGTTCTTCATTCGTCCTTGCTTTGAATATTTGTGCCACATATGATCTGGTGTTTCTGATATTTAGAGATTCTTGTTGCAATATTATTGGTCCTGAAATGGCGTTTCGGTTTCAATCACTTTCGCACCGTCGCATGGTACCTACAGTTTATAAATTTAAACGCAGTTCAAGATTGGCAACAATGTTTCATCAATTTACACACGAATTTGCTAGATATAACTATAAGTTCTATGCTAACAGTTTCTTTTCTCTCACTTCTCGCTTGTGGAACTCTCTCTGGCTCCAGGCTTTCCAGTGAATTTTAATCTTCAAAAATGTTCATGCAATGTCAATCATTATCTACAGTTTTCCTGATTCCTCTTTTATTGTTCTCGCTCCTTAATGTTTCTCTTTTTTCTTATTGTTTCACAGAAAGTGTTTTAATATCCAGCATGGGGTGAAATGATTAAACAAAAAAAAACTCTTTGCAAGATATGAAATATTTATTTTCTGCTGTGTGAACGTTTTGGTAATGAGTTTAATAAACACGATAGGGAACAAGGACAAAAAGTAATTCGTGCTTTAAAAGAGAAAAGTAGTTTTAGTTGGGTTGCGAACATTTGGACCAACAATCGTAACGACGACTATGATTGCTATGGTAACAATTCTTGCTCTCTCTCTCTCCCTCCCTCTCTCTCTCTCTCTGTCTCTCTCTCTTTCTCTGTCTTCCTCGCTCTTTCTTTCTCTTCCTCGCTCTCTATTAAAATCTATGTTTTACCAAATGGTAGTCTTTTTAAATGTTTTAAATGTGTCTAGTTAATTTCAAGAAACACCTGCTTGTAATGTTATACACGTGTATACAAGGTATGATGTGATGTGGGCTTCTTTGCTTTTAATGAGACTTTCACAGGTAGATGCTGGAGGATGAAATAATCTGTTACGAGTGTGCAGAGGTTATTTCAGCGTTCTAATTAAAAACAGCATTTCGCCCGAAGCAAAATGACAGTTAACTGAGCATGCCATGCATAAAAAAAATAAGCAAAACTGTTGGAAAATACTTCTTTGGAAAAGAGAAAAAAAAACTGCGTGTAAAACAAAAATTACAATAAGTTTTATAACCGGGGAGAAAAACAAGCATATGAAAGGGGCGCTAAAAGGTTCACGGCCCGACAGATTTCTCCAAATCAGTCGGGCTGATATTTGATCATTGGTAACGCTGAAGTGGGTCAGATCGAGAACTTTGCAGCTGCATCTCGTATAAGGATGAGAAGAGATCAAGGATTTGCCAGAAAATACGGATCGTGATCATTTACAAATGTTGCGAGGAAAATATTATAGTCTCTCGAGAGTCGATAAAGGAAATGTGATGTGCTGTCAACCTCTGTGGACATTAGGTCGATTTTAGAACCGTAGTATTGCACTCAATTTGCTAGTTGGAGTTTGACATGATAAACAATGACACAGAATATGTTTTTGCCAAATCGTCACCATGTTTTGAGGAAACTAGTTTGAAGGTCAAGGTAAGGTTCAAAATTGTAGCGTTGGAATTTCGTTCCGGTGATCAGCAGGAAGCTTATAGCACAGCTTTATAAAATTTATAATTTGCTAAAGCTTTAAAAAATTTACATGGACAAGATGAATGGCGCACGCATATTATTACTAAATTATTGTGCCATCAAATAAGACCTTCATTTACTTCAAAGGGAAATTATACTGAACAATTTAGTTATATTATGATGTAATAATATTATGATGTACAGCACGGTAATGGATAGCGACTCGGATTGAGGAATCGGAGAGCCGAGTTCGAATTCCAGTCAGATCCATTACATTCATTCACGTGCTAATACCCTTGGGAAAGGTATAAATCCTCTTCTTCTCCCCTCAAATAAATAGCAGGACAGTCCAGATTCTATAGCCTTGGATGGCAACTGGTCTACTGCAGAAAGAAATGAAAAAATCTGCGGGAAAAATCTGGTAGTCAGTCATGTATTGAAAGATACATGATCGCCTAAGTGTGTATCACGCATGGCACATAGTGTGATTGCAAATTTAAAATATTTCGTCTTATTATTTGTACCCAGGGTATTATATATACTTTTATCTATTATTTGTTTGTATTTAACAAATAACATATCAAATGACCTAACAAATAATCTAACAAAAAACAAACCGTAATAAGTATTTCATTCACCAGTTTGTGCCTGACGACTTGGGTAAAACATGAAACTAAATTGCACTACAAACGTAGGTATATATATATATATATATATATATATATATACATATATATATTAATATATACTTCTTAGCTCTGTCTAACTGCATTGAACACAGTTTTGTTTACATTACGCCACAACGCATAACTAACTGTTAATATTATGTGTGCGATAATAACTAGAGATGATCTCAAAGTCATGTATGTTAGCGGATGTGCGGTTGGTGTAATAGAATTAAAAATCGAAGAGCTGATTTAGTTTTGTTATAATCACTGACCTTCAAATACCCATAGAATGGTACGAATCCATAGCACCTCCAGATATGCGTTAAATAGGAGCTCGTGTATCTGGAAAATCATTGCTATCCTCAAATAAAATGTTAATGTGATATCCACTTGCAAAAAACAAGAATTATTCTTACAATCCAAAATATATTTCGGCTTTAAATAAGCAACAAAGGTTCGATAAGCCGTAAAGAAAAAGAAATCAATCAGTCGATTCAAACAAAAAAATACATTTGTCCATCTAATCTGGAAATGCGACAGCTTATACACAAGCTAAATAAATGTAATAAAAATTCGAAGGATAGACTATGTCGGTCGATTTCCATAAAAACAAGTTTGAAAGAATTTTTGCTGTCTAAGTATACCATATAAATATACATTAAGAATTAACGACAGCATCTGCGTAGAAAACCAGAAGTCAAAATGGCAACATCTGTAAGAAAAGAGAGTAAAGGTTTAGGAGTGAGTATAAAGTGTAAGAAAAACGACGAAAAGGACAAATAATAACGATATTCCACATGTACACACATGCGCAAAGACGGGAATATGGGCACAAGCACGCACACATACACACGCACACAAACACACACATACACGTAAACATAAAATATGAAAAAATATCTTTCCCTGTTGAAAAATGTATATAAAAAAAGAGAAATATAAGCCGTCAGTTCCTGATACACCTGACGAGTGGACGGAGTAATTCCCGGAGGATCTGTCTACGAAATTCTGGAGTAGGGACTGAAGGTAACATCAATCAGTTAAGTGACAAACCTTTTACTTGCATATATATATATATATATATATATATATATATATATATATATATATATATATATAAGCACCCAGGAATCGCAACTGATTTCACCAGGAACTCTCGTGGTATGGAAATCATAACTTCTTGTATTCGTATTTCAAGTTTTTCAAAAGTCTTGGTTTGATATAGTAGACTTGCTCCTTTAACCAACCCCAAAGAAAAAAAGTCACAGGTTATTAAGACTCCTGGTTGGTCACTCAGCCATAAAACAGGAAGTTATATTTCAATCACACTGCATATATATATATATATATATATATATATATATATATATATATATATATATATATATATTTATTTATATATATATATATATATATATATATATATATATATATATATATATATATATTTATATATATATATATATATATATATATATATATATATATTTAAATTTACTAATTTAAAAATAATAATAATAAATTAGTAAATTAATATTTATGTTCTACAGAATTGCATTGAGTACTGTTTTTTAAAATAAAATAATTAATAAGAACACTGGATTATATCTTAGTGTTCTTTCCCTTTATTTTAATATATATATATATATATATATATATATATATATATATATATATATATATATATATATATATATATATATATATATATATATAGAGAGAGAGAGAGAGAGAGATAGAGATACATTGTGATGGGTAAATTGTCGCCATTTTATATTTTTAATTTTGCGCATGCCCGTTGATTGTTTATGACTTTGTTGAATATAGTAGGATCAGTTGGGCATCTTCTGTGAGAAAAAGAGCACCATGACGCAATTCACTACACCAGAAATGTACTGCTTGGCATTCACGCCGGAAGATTCAGTACGAACATTTCTTGGCGTTTCGGTGTCAATCTGAGAACAGTACAGAAGATCCAAAAAGAGTTGAATGAGTCTAATGATGATTACGAAGGTGTTTGGAGTGATCAATAGTGATGGACTTCTAATATGGCCTCAGACTAAACACGGAGGTTTACATTAAGTGCCTTGCGGAGGTAGTGCTGCACTGGGTGTAGATGGTGTCTGCTGGAAGATTGTATGTCTGGCAACAGGACTCTGCATTATACCACACAAGCAGAAGAACCTAATCATAGCTGTCAGACAATTTTTGCGATCACAACATTCCTTACATCTGGCCACCTAACTCCCCAGACTGCAACTTCCTTGATTGTGTGGGGCGCAATTGAGCGAGACCTACAAAACTCCTAACACAAAAAATGTACTGAAGGCAAGGATTATGACAGTATTCTGCAACTTAATCAAGGAAACCGTCCAGAAGAGTTGCAGTGGATTCCTAAGTCGTCTGGAGGTCGTGGTTGAAGCCAATGGCGATTTTATTGAATAAATTTACTCTTTATTATTTCAAGATATTTTGCGTTTTTTTTGTTTTTTTTATAAATATATTTGTTAATTTCAGATATTATTTTTGCGTAATTTAGACGACAGTTTATCCATCGCACCTGCACATATTTGTGTGTGAGTGAGCAAGTGTGTGTGTGTGCGTGTGTGTGAGTGTGCAAGTGTGTGTGTAATAGTGGAAATATATATACTTGAAAAAAAAAAAATAGAATATATTAAACATCAAAACAAAATAGGCGCCACACTTAAGCAAGAACAATATAAATAAGAAAACAATTTTAAAAAAGAATACAACTGAATTCAATGACAAAATAAAATTCTAAAAGTAAACAAAGTAAAACAAATGGTCGACATCGTTTTTAAATATTATTGAAATTCTATTCCTTCTGACATTTTATGTGATTATTCCTAAAAAGCAAATCTAGAATAAGTGATTAAAAAAGAAAAATTGAAACTGATGTTTTCCTTAAACATCAATTTGCTTCCTGATTTTTTTTTAAAAATAATACCTACTTCCTATCCCGAATCTTTCCCCATGACAATCACTTCTTTTTTCTGTCTCTCTTATTCGTTCAATCTTTCATTCTATTTTTCATAGTATTTTCTTATCTCCTAATCCCTCAGCATGCACATGCGTCTGCATATTTTCTGCTCTCATCTAATATTTAGCTAACTTCCTGTCTATCTGTGATTGGACACAGAAAAAAATCCTTCTTGTTAGAAAACAAGCATTGATTTTAAAATTTTACTGATTTCATCAAATTTTAAATATATTTTTCAAATAATAAAAATGTTTTTTTTTTTAAATGTAAACATATATCCAGCGTCATTTACACTAGAAAATTAGTAATTTTTCCTGGTTTTCCATTGGTTGACCAATGGTTGGTAAGACACTTTGTACAAACAACATAATCTAAGAAAGTTTATTGTACCATTTACTTATTTCTACACCCATACATTAAATGGATAATCTTTTCAGACCTCAGCACCCTTCAACAATGACAAATCTAGCGGACATCTGTGTAGTAGGACGCATGCGTAATTTACTTCCGGGTTTTAGGTGAAAGAAGCAAATGGACACACGCAAACAGGATGGATGTAAACGCGAGAGGAAATAAGCATTGTTTAAATGGATAGGTAAAGTGTTTAAAGCTATCCAAAGTAACAGGTAACTGAAATCCAATCTGTTGAATATTATTTCTTCACCGTAAACGTTAATAGAACTGAAATTCCATAGTAATAAAAAATATTTTTATGCTTTTTTTTTTACCTTTGAACGGTTCACGGAAAGGGAAATCGGTAAGTCGAGTTCGAATTCCGGTTGAATTCATTACGTTTACTTTCACGCAAATAACCTTATGCTCCATCTTTTCTCTCCCCCGCTATAGGTTAAATAGCAGGGCAGACTGTTCTATCTTGCGTGGAGGTGGCAAACAGTCTAGAAGAAGGATAACTATGAACTCAAAATCATCTTGAATTGGGCAAGGCTTCTCCTGGCTGTATTGTTCGGGACAAACCACTGCTTTTACGGCTGTTAGTACATGTGATGTTTCTACAACCCTAACGACGTGAAGTGACGAATGAGACCAAACATGAAGCATCCCTTGTATATTTTTACGGAATTAAATGTTGAAATTGAAGTCAATTCCGTTATTATGAAATTGAAATCTCAGATATGTTTTGTGCCACTGGTTGTATGGTTTTCGGCCATACAGAACACTTTTCCGACATTTATTTAACTGACACTATGAAGCATATTAAGGTAAAGGTGTCACAGCATTTGTTTGAAAAGTTTAATTAAATCAAAACATGAATTAAGTTTTCCAAGATTTATTTGAATCAAAAACGTGACTAAAAATTAAAAATGTGGGTCACATAATTCAACGCTCGTCGTGCGTGCAGGAACGAAGAGCGTTGAATTGTGTCTGTGGTGGTCTTCGAAATCGATTATTTTCTGGGGATCGTTTACAACGTTTGCGCACAGTTTTGGTTGCCGATTGTATGAAAATATTGAAAAAAAAAAAAAAAAGTTTGTTACTCGAAGCGGATTCGACTCTCTACGCGTAATTCAACGCTCCTCGCGGTAAACGGTCACTGTGAACACTCTAAAAACTCCAAGACGACTTTCTACGTGCAAATCAACACTCCTCGTGGGCACAGGCTGTCCTCTGCGAACGTGTGGTGGTCGTAGCGGTGGTAAGCAGTCAAATTGAACTACAGGTCGACTCTCTACGCGCAATTCAACGCTCCTCGTAATTTTTCTTATTTATAAAGTAAAGGCTGAATTCGATGAATATTAATAAAAATCGAAGTCTAATCAATCTCTAACCATCATGTATGCATATCTTGACAATTTGAATTAATTCAAAACTTGAATTTTAATGTTAATATATTCATGTTTTAATTAATAAAAAATATTCGCGTCAGTAAGATTTTTCTTTTTCTTTGAATAAAGCCGAAATCGATGAGGAATCAAAGTTCATGTAAGGAAAATAAAAGAAAGACGTGGCCTGGTTTGAGTATTCCATTTAAAATCCGGGGTTTTATCCATGTAAAAGAAATATGTACGCAAATGAAAAAAAAAAGAAGAGTCGAGTTAAGCAGACTAAAGCCTCTTAAGCAATATACAAAGTTTCATGGATCACGTGATTCTTTAATTCCCTATGCATGTCTAACAGGAAGAAGTATAAAAGGAACTGAAAAAAAAAAGAGACAAAAAATAGTTTATCTTAACGACTTTAATAAACTATAAATACGTTTATAACAAAGTGGAAGCTTAGTAAAAAAAAAAAAAAAGCTGAGGTTTATAATTCATTCGAGCCAGATCGGACATTAATGAGTCTATCACGCCAACCCTCACGGTCCTGCATTAAGGTCGGGAAGTCATTAGGGTGGCATTTTGTGTCATAACCTAGCTGGTCAATGTAGGTGGTAGTTGGGCGACAAACCAGTCTTGCGCCATGGCTAGGTATCCAGAGCAGTATGTCACACGCGAGTTCTTGTTTTGCTCATCAACAGTTTCCTGCAAAGCGCATTCTACGTTTGAGTAAATTGTAGAAATATGAGAGATGACTCCATAAAGCTGTGATTTAGTTGGGTTTTGTCTCCAAGACATGTCATGTATAGCTTTCAGCATCCAAGTTTAGTTTTCATCAAGTTTAGACTCTAGGCTTTTAAACGGTCCTAAAAGATAGTGGATTCTTATTTCTTCAAATAAAATCATCTCCACCGAAGATAAGTTGTTATTATTCGGTCGAGGTAACTCGGATATTCATGAGTCTATCACGCCAACCCTCACGGTCCTGCATTAAGGTCGGAAAGTCATTAGGGTGGTATTTTGTGTCATAACATAGCTGGTCAATGCAGGTGGTTGCTGAGCGACCGTCTTGCACCATGGCTATGCACCCAGAATTGTTGATCACTCGCAGTTACTTGTTTTACTCGCATTCTAGGTTCACGTAAGGTTGTAGAAATATCAAGGATGGATCCATAGAGCTGTGATTTAAAGAGGTTAAATAAACTCTCAGTATCCGCAGGGTCCATTAAGCTTAGTCTCTAGAGATTTACTTAACGTCCAGGTAGTGGCACCATGCTTTCAAACCGCCTTTACAGTTGCGCAAAAGAAACTCCGCTTGAGGTTGTATGGTAAATCAGATTTCCAGATTATATCTATTTTATTCGATTTTATTTAAGGTAGTCGATGTTTGGGTTATGCAGATCTTCACATCTTTTTCAATAGAATTTATTTTGCTTCCAAGGTATGTAAAAGATTCGACAGATTTTATTAATTCTCCTGAGTTTTGCTTGTTGAAGCTTATGAAGAGTCCAGCATCGTTAGCAGCATTTTCTAGATGATGTAGTAGAACCATAGCATTGGTTATGGTGTCTGTAATGATAACTAGGTTATATGCATAGTCAATAGTCTATCCGATATCGACTTGAGAGTAAAGTAAAACTTAGATGATGATGTTCGTTTAGTAACGTTCTCAATACGTAGTCAAAGGTGATAGCAAAGAGAAAATGAGAAAGGGTGTCATCTAGAAGGACCCCGGTTTTAATGTTGAAGAAGTTAGTGTTTCCGTAGTAATCCCAAATCTTTGGTTAGATCCCCAGACGAGGTTTAATAGATGAATAAATAAGTATATTTTACAAGTCAATTATTGTGATCGGACATTTTGCTGACATGGACAGGTTTAGCAACAATAAGGAATGTCTAGCAAACCCCGACTTATCAGAAATGTTGATTGACAAGTTATTTTGTCTACAAGTTAAAGAGGAAATGTTTGTCGATTTAAGGCAAAATAGTTTGTCTTGACAAGTTGCCAGTAGAAAATTTAGATTGTTGCGTGGCACGAAAATAGATGTAAAAGTTAGAGTCGGGGTCAGAGGTCCAAGGCAGAGGAGGAAGAGGAGACTGGGAAGACAAGTCCTATAAATTTGGGTAGGTAGACTAGATTCGGCCAGACATTACTGCTTCCTAAACAGAGAAAATTGGTGGGGGTTCAGACTAAACTAATATTATTCTCTCTCACTCTCTCTACTTCTCTCTCTCTCTCTCTCTCTCTCTCTCTCTCTCTCTCTCTCTATCTATCTATCTATCTATCTATCTATCTCCTGCCTTCCTTAGAAAATACGCTAATGATCATATATGCCTATAACTTCGTTGTTTCATCATTTTTATCCGTCCTCTACTGTCTCTCATTCTACAGCCCATATTCAAGAACAATCGCTCCCACGTCTCCCACGACACCCTCTACTTATGATATTTTCACGAAAGCTTGATTCGACAGGTTTCACCAAAAGTCAGGTTACAAGTTTCTTTAAATTGCGTGTTCCTCTCTTCAGTTGAAAATGGTCAAATAAATAAATATCAGAAAGAAATATAAGTCAGACACAATGTAAAATATATATATATATATATATATATATATATATATATATATATATATATATATATATGTATGTATGTAATTTTTATATGTATTATTTATATATTATATATCCGCAGTACTTATTGGAAAGCGGTCAAAATCAAGGATAGAGCTAACATATTTAGTTGGATTGATGTGTGTTTGGGACCTTGGGTTTCACGCTATTTGCAATCGTCAGACAAAGAGTTTGTCTGATGATCGCAATTAGCGCGAACGCAGACTCACAAACCCACATCAATCCAACTATATATATATATATATATATATGTGTGTGTGTGTGTGTGTGTGTGTGTGTGTGTGTGTGCGTGTGTGTGTGTGTCACTGTGCGTGCGCGTGTGTGTCGATTCAACGTAGTACAACATTGTCTCGCTAGATCAATGATGATTAGGTAGTAAGTTCGATATACATTATTAGATACTTGTGGGTTTGTGGCACGTCTAAGTTACTTAGTTATATATATATATATATATATATATATATATATATATATATATATATATATATATATATATATATATATATAAAAAGATAATTAATACAGTAAAATGTTTGTGACTTAGCTTCATAGACGGACACTTTCGAGAATTACACTGTCCGCTCGTCAGGGGTTATCACCAATTGACTGCTAATAATTAAGTGCTGATGTTAATAATATATTGCATGATATAGATCTGAAGATTGTGCTGTACATGAAACTCAGTGTTGCGCTACCTCTGAGGAAAAAATATATTTATCATTAGTCAGTCATGAATCAGAAAATACATAATCGTTCAAATGTGTATCGCGTATGGCACTTAAATGACTGAATGTTAACAGTAAGTGTTTAAAGTGTTTGTATAAAATAATAACTTTTTTCGACATTAGTATACGAATGCGTCTATATATATATATATATATATATATATAGATAGATAGATAGATAGATAGATAGATAGATAGGTAGATAGATAGATAGATAAATATTTGGGAATGAGTGCTCAATATCAGAGATAGAGATATAAAATTGGTCACTGTAGTAAACATTCAGAGGTGACAAATATATGAAATAAGAAATAAATAAAAAACAAGTAAAATAAATTAATCCAAATAAATAAATTAATTAATTAACAAACCACTCCCGCCAAAATAGCCGTTAGAATAGACTATCCACAATGCACCAGTGACCTGAGAAAAAACCAACACATGTGGCCTGATGAGTGCGTTTGGCATGAAACAGTCTGTCGCCTCTGAGAGTTTACTTCAATGTTCACACACACACACACACACACACACACACACATATATATATATATATATATATATGTATATACAAAGGATTGCTGAAAAGCTATCGGCATAAACAAACAAGAAGGGATTAGAAAATAATTTAATAATTTTTACTATTTCGTCATTTGGTCAGATTTTTAAAGTACGCAGGGCATAAAGTAGCAAAATGTTAACACTTTAAACATTTTTATATTTAACATTCAATTGGTTTTCATGTTTCATTAGGCCTGAGAGAGTTCGGTTTATTTCTCAACCATCTGAGTCATGACCTTTGGAGAACCGCTAGAGAATATGAAAACATTATTATGGTGGATATTATATTTGGAAGGTCTGTTTCTTGTATCTAACTAAATATATTGGAGAGAAAATTTACTACCGAAATATCAGAATAAATATATATATATATATATGTTAATGTGTCCACCCCTTTTTCATACAAGTGGACTCGACCAGTGTGTACTTGGACTACTGCCGTTAAATACTCAGAGTCAGTCAGGGAGAGAGATTGTGGTTGACTTGGAGTTAATAGTGTGAGGTAACCGCTTGTAGAAGTCACAGTTACAAGCCCGTAGACTCTAAGGAAGTCCTACTTCGAGACTGTGTATATATATATATATATATATATTATTATTATTATTATTGCTACTAACCACGTTTCTGGATTTACTAACCGTATTACCAATTGTATTATTGTGTAAATGCATTTCTTTGTTATATTTCATTCCTGCGTTTGTCATTCATTGGAGACCGAATTTCATCTCGGAATCCACAACAAATTGGCGACGAAGATTCGAACCCACGTGGAAAAGAAAAAATCAGCAAGAGAAAAATCATCCCTCGTCCTCCAACAAGCAAATTGCCACACACACGGGAAAAAAAATCGAGCGATTCGAACTCACACGAGAAGAAGAAATAGAAAAATCCTCCCCTCGTCCACAACAAATTAGCGACAAACAGTTACGAGGAGTAAAAATACGTAAAATTGAGTTATCATCGAAGATTTTAAAAATAAACATTGTGACGACTTCAAAGTAGCGGAATTAACCCCGGACAATTTCAAATGTATCATCTTTGTTCAAGGGTTAGTTTCAACAAAAGATAGCGAAATGCGCAGAAGAATGCTTGCAAAATTACAAAATGAACCGGGTCTAACATTACAGCAATTATCGGAAGATTGCCAGAGATGTCTAAGTATAAAGAAAGACGCAAAGGACATCGAGGAATCAGCTGTTTCTCATATACGTAAGTTAAACAAAAGTCTACGTTCTTCACCCTCCCCGGAAAGAAAACTAAAATTTTACGACAGTGAAAAAAGATTCTCACCCTCTCCGGAAAGAAAAAGAAAATTTTATAATAAGAGAAAAAGTACAACATACAGGACAAATTATGACGAATATCGAAGCAAATATTAAGCCCCCTCCATCAGCATGTTATCGATGTGGAGGACTACATTGGAACACGGATTGCTGCTTTAGATATAAAAACTGTCTTGAATGTGGAAAAAAGGACCACAAGGCATCCCAATGTAGGCATAGAAAAGATACTAATAGAATAAGAGCTACTAGGATGCATAACGATGACAACACCAACGTAAGGAAGTGTGTGAAACTGGAAATATTAAATAAAAAGGTTAAATTCCAACTGGATTCGGGTTCTGACCTCACGATAATCAAATTACAGACATGGAAAAAACTCAACAGACCAACCATGTTACACACACAGAAAAATTACCAAGTCGGTTACAGGCAAACGAATAAAATTTGAGGGAGAAATAATCGTGAATGTTAAATTTCACGGCAAAACAAAAAACTTAAGATATACGTCATGAAAGATACTGAAAATCTAGTAGGTATCGACTGGATGCAGAAGTTCAACGTTTGGGACCTACCTATCAATTCTTTTTGCAAAAAGTTAGATGTTGAACCATCAGATTCTATAAAATTAAAGGAAGAATTATATAACCAATTTCCTGAGATATGTTCAATCGGGTTGGGACGATGCAACAAATTTAAGGCCAAAATTGAATTAAAAGAAAACGTCCAACCAATTTTTAAAAAGAAGCTAAATGTGCCGTTCGCTACTATAGAAAAAATAGACAAAGAATCGGAGAGAATTGAACAAATTGGGATTCTATCAAAAACTAAGCGTTTAGCGAGTGGGTAGCGCCGGTGGCTTATTTAAAAAAGAAGACAGGAGAAATCCGCGTATGCGCATATTTTTCGACGGGACTCAACAAGACAATAAAAGACCATTATTACCCACTACCGAACCCAGAGGAGATATTTACAAAGCTCAACGGCGGTAAGATATTTTCAAAAATAGAAATAAGTGAGGCTTATCTACAAATCCCAATACAAGAAGAGAGTACGAAAATCATTTGCATTAATACGCACAAATGGTTGTACAAATTCAACAGACTACAATTCGGAGTAAAAGTTGCACCAGCAATTTTTCAACAAACGATGGACACAATGCTCACGGGCCAGAATTTTGCGACCGCTTATCTGGATGATATTCTAATTAAGGGCGACAATGTTGAAGAGCACACATCACACATAAAGGAAGTTTTCAGAAGACTTCATGACTTTGGGTTCAAAGTAAAAGGAGAAAAGTGTGATTTTTTCCTAAACGAAATTAAATATTTAGGACAGAAATGAGAAGGTCAAACAGGAAGAGAACATTTGTAGAACCCCTGACTATCAACGATAAGAGACAAAAATACTAACTCCCCTCAAAAAAGAGATCTAAGGAGTGGGGTGTTATGGGGTCCACCCCTTTTTCATACAAGTGGACTCGACCAGTGTGTTAAATACCCAGAGTCAGTCAGTCAGTCAGGGAGAGAGATTGTGATTGAGTTGGAGGTAGACTAATAGTGTAATGAGGTAAACGCTTGTAGAAGTCACAGTTACAAGCACGTAGACTCTAAGGAAGTTAAAATTGTGTAAATACATTTACTTGTTATATTTCATTCCTGCGTTTGTCATTCATTGGAGACCGAATTTCATATCGGAATCCACAACAATATATATATATATATATATATATATATACTAGTAGCATGACCCGGCGTTTCCCGTGATGATTCAAAAATCGTACGACTCATACAGCAATCGCTATCACTTGACTTAAAATATTTTTGCCCTTCCTTGCCTTTAAAAGAGGGCTCTTTGCCTTGCTGATGTTGCTACATGCCTTACTTCTTGCCTATCTCACATTGCGAATTTTTTCTAAGCTCTATACTAAGCATTAAATCTGTTACGAAAAAAGAACTAAACAAAATGAACACAAAACGATCAGCTTTAAAAAAAAAAAGGACTCGTAACTGGAAAAACCGAATGAAAAAAGAATGTTAACGACAAATACTTTTTCACACTCAACCCAGTTCTGCGGAATCAGAATCAACGTTGAGTTTAAGCAAGCGAATGAGCCAATTGGAGTAAAGTGCCATGCAGATTTAAATTTTTCCCACTTGTGACGAATGCAGCTATCGATTTTTTTTGCATGCTAGCATGCTAGTTAACATTCATGTCAGCTGTTGGCTCTCACGCTGGCCAATAGAATCTTCCTGCCTATTCGTGGCAGCCA